GCCCTCTAGCAACTTCAGCACGAAATTATAGCTAATTTGCCTACAAACGTCAGGTGGTCATAATAATCTGGCCACTCAGTGAAAGTAGCGCTTAACTGCTCTGTTATTATCTGAGCCTAACTGACCTGGGGAGGAAAAATCTCAATCCCAGCCAGCTCTAGCCTTACACGAGGGAAAGGCTGACTCTAGCTCACTGCAGCCATCCTGTCTGACCTAGGGAGAGGGGAGGGGAACACAGGAACACTTGTGTTTTTATTTTGTGGTTTCTTTTTAATCTTAACCATTGAAAGTATTACAGATGTCCCCTTTGTTTTTTGTTTGTTTGTTTGTTTTCTAATTGACTCCCTCTTCCCTGCACCTGCCCCTCGAAAGCCTTCGCCACACTATTGTCTGTGTCCATGGGCTATGCATATATGCATATAACTTCCCCGATTAATCTCACCCCCCAACCCTTCCAACCCTACATTCCCTCTGAAATTCATCAGTCTGTTCATAGTTCTATGTCTCTGGACCTATTTATTCATCACTTTATTTTGTTTATTAGATTGCACATATGAGTGAGATCATGTGATACTTATCTTTCTCTGATTGGCTTAATCACTTAGCATAATACTTCAGGCCCATCCATGACGTTGCAAGTGATAAGAATTCCTTCTTTTTTTCCCCACTGCATGGTATTCCATTGTGTACATGCACCACAGTCCAGAGGCATTGCCTCACTAAAACACTGAGACCTAATCATAGGACTATATACACTTGCCCTCACTCTAAACCTCACCACCATATGACTAGGTCTATTTACAGTTGTTCCAGAAGATAACAATCCTAAGCCAGAGACTGGAAGAAATTACTGTACTTACAAAGACATATCTGATAAAGGACTTACCGTCCAAAAAGTTCTTAAAACTCAAAAATTGTTTTATGGATGTTGACAAATGAATCTAAAGTTCATATGATCCAGAATGGTCAGCATAACATGTTACTGAAGGAGAACATTGGCGGGCCCTCCAATGTGCCTTCTGTTGGTGGGGAAAATGGGAGAACATCCATGAATCTCTCCCCTTTCATAGAGGATTCACTTCCTGGAATATAGTTCTTTTAAGTTTATTTGCATCCTCAGCATTATGATGCTATTTTTAAAAATATATATGATTTGTAGCTTATCCAGCTAATTTGGTGGCTAGGGTGAGAATGATGGTTTTTGTAACTTTTAAAATTTATGCCAGAAGTACTATTTATATACATTAAAAAGCACAAAAATATTTTATACTTATCCACAGATATACCATTTATGTTGTTTTTCATACATTTATAAAAGGTAAAGATTCCATCTGATATAATTTTCTTTCAGACTGAATAGAATTATTTTATATTTTTTATAGTTCAATTCTTCTGGTGATGAATCTTTCCATTTGTTTCTCCCAAAATATCTTTATTTTACTTTGATCTTTCATGAATGGTTAAATCCACAGCCAAGCTGACAGGCCTTCCTTTTTCTTGAAGCACTTTAGAAATATTTTTATCATCTTCCATCTTCCTAAGGGAAGTCAGTGAGGAGTCAGCCATCATTTTTATTTTGTTCACCTTATCTTCTTGTGATGTGTCTTATTTATGTGACTGCTTTTAATATTATTTTTTCTTTTTTTCAGTATAATTATCATGTGTGTTGGTGTGGTCTTTATTATTTTGAGCTTAGATTTAGGGGTTGCTTTGGTTTTTTAAATCACAAATTTTGCCATTATTTCTTCAAATATATTTTGACCTTACAGCCTTCTTCTGATAATGCAATTATATGTATGTTTGACTTCTCACAGGTCACTGAGTCTTTGTTCAATTTTATTTCTATGTTTCTTTTTAATCAATGTTTCATTTTGGCTAGTACTTACTCCCTTGTCTCTATTTAGAGATTACTGGAGTTCCGAACACTCGCCTTTCTGCTACTCTGCCTTATACATTCAAGCCACTGAAGAGTCTCTGCACTCCAATCTCTGTTTCCTCAATTCATTAAGAACGTTGATGCTTTGCCTTGTTTTCCCTTCTGTGCCGTGGTTTAGAAAGTGTCTCCAGGAGCAATAATGGGGTTTTCTTTTTCTTAACTCACTTATCTCAAGGAACACAGTTTTGTTCTTCTTTTCTGATGTCTGAAAACTATAGTTTAATATATTTTTGTACTTTTTTTGCTGCTTATTTTGGAAAGGCTAGCTTAGTACTAGTCATTCTGTCTTGAACCTAGAGCATGACTCTATTTCATTTGTTAAAAATGACAATCCTTACTTATTGCAACCACATTTAATATGGCATAAAATAGGCATAAAGTAAATTGAACCTATAACAATATGTTTTATTTTGGAAAACTAGGTGCATTATTTCTAGAATAACTCCTTATTTCATTTTTTTTCAATTAAAAATTTGAGTGATTTCTTCATCTACTTTCCCTCTTGGCTTTAAAACTACATCTACTAGTAAATTATGAGAATTTTTAATTATATGTATTAATATGTTTTTGGTTTTGAGCATTAATTTAAAGAGCAAATACTTAAGATCAAACTTGAAAATGAAAGCATCAGGTTCTTTTAAATTAAATTTGGATAAATGTAAATTAATTAAGATTTTAAGAAAAAGAAAATGGAATATGACATCTTTTTGGACTCACTGCCAAGTATTTTGATAACTTATCTTCAAAAATTATCTTCAAAAATACATGTTTATAGCAAATAAAATGTTCTAATATCATAGAAGCTCAGAGCATTTGTGGTAAATTTTCAGCATTTCTATTTTTGAGAATAAGATTTTGTATGACTGTTAGAATGTAAAGGTTGTGCTATGTTTAATATAACTCATAAAGATGAATAAAATTTAATAAAAATTAATTATTTTCAAATATACTAGTAATGTCACAAGGTTAACAATAACAAATGTTGTCTCTTATTGTTTCTACCCAGGCCAGTAAATTGAAATACTTGCAAATCCTTAAATATGTCTAAGCTTTTGAACTTATGTCTTTGGGGGTCTAAGGGATGTTTTCCAGAACTCCTACCCTACAATTTGGGCTAAATACCTCTTTGTGTGCACCCAGGGAGTACACCGACCATATTTCAAAAATAACACTTAATTTACAGGATTATAGTAATCTATTGACTTCTTTTCCCCATTTGATTGTAAATCCCATGAGACCGTGAATGGTATATTTTTATTTTAGTGTCCATAATATCCTCAGGTCCAGAGTAGATATTTCATACTTATTTGTTAAATAAACAAATTAATAAATTGTTTCTGTTTCAATTTGGATTAAAAAAAAGGATTATTCTAATAGGAAAACGAACTTGGTGAAATGATTAAATGCTAACTCTACATTTTGTCTTTCCTTACAGGCTCTTAAATCTGATCTACAATGGAAAAATTCCTTTTTTATCTGTTTTTCATTGGCATAGCAGTGAGAGCTCAGATCTGTCCAAAGCGTTGTGTCTGTCAGATTTTGTCTCCTAATCTTGCAACCCTTTGTGCCAAGAAAGGGCTTTTATTTGTTCCACCAAACATTGACAGAAAAACTGTGGAACTGCGCTTGGCAGACAATTTTGTTACAAATATTAAGAGGAAAGATTTTGCCAATATGACCAGCTTGGTGGACCTGACTCTATCCAGGAATACAATAAGTTTTATTACACCGCATGCTTTTGCTGACTTACGAAATCTGAGGGCATTGCATTTGAATAGCAACAGATTGACTAAAATTACAAATGATATGTTCAGTGGGCTTTCCAATCTCCACCATTTGATACTGAACAACAATCAGCTGACTTTAATTTCATCTACAGCATTTGATGATGTCTTTGCCCTTGAGGAGCTGGATTTGTCCTATAATAATTTAGAAACAATTCCTTGGGATGCTGTTGAGAAGATGGTTAGCTTGCACACCCTTAGTTTGGATCACAATATGATTGATAACATTCCTAAGGGGACTTTCTCCCACTTGCACAAGATGACTCGGCTCGACGTAACATCAAATAAATTGCAGAAGCTACCGCCTGACCCTCTCTTTCAGCGAGCTCAGGTACTCGTGACCTCAGGAATCATAAACCCGTCTACTTTTGCATTAAGCTTTGGTGGAAACCCTTTGCATTGCAATTGTGAATTGTTGTGGTTGAGGCGTCTGTCCAGAGAAGATGACCTAGAGACCTGTGCTTCTCCAGCACTTTTAACTGGTCGCTATTTTTGGTCAATTCCCGAGGAAGAGTTTTTGTGTGAGCCTCCTCTCATTACTCGCCATACACATGAGATGAGAGTCCTAGAGGGTCAAAGGGCAACCCTGAGGTGCAAAGCCAGGGGAGACCCCGAACCTGCAATTCACTGGATTTCTCCTGAAGGGAAGCTGATTTCAAATGCAACAAGATCTCTGGTGTATGATAATGGAACACTTGACATCATGATAACAACTGTAAAGGACACAGGTGCTTTTACCTGCATTGCTTCCAATCCTGCAGGGGAAGCCACACAAACAGTGGATCTTCACATAATTAAGCTCCCTCACTTACTGAACAGTACAAACCACATCCATGAGCCTGACCCTGGTTCTTCAGATATTTCAACTTCTACTAAGTCAGGTTCTAATGCAAGCACTAGTAATGGTGATACCAAGATGAGTCAAGATAAAATTGTGGTGGCAGAAGCAACATCATCTACGGCATTACTTAAATTTAATTTTCAAAGAAATATTCCTGGAATACGTATGTTTCAAATCCAGTACAATGGTACTTACGATGACACCCTTGTTTACAGGTAAGGAAAATTAAGCAAATTTGTATACTTGCCATGCATCTTAGTGTAGGGCTTCTTATGGCACTCTGATATTTTTAATTGTCAGTGCTACACTATATTGTAATTATATCACTTCATTTTTAAGTGTAAGGCTTAAAATGTGAGGCTGGTGAAAGATGAATTCATGTGGGAAACTATTTTGAGTGGTGTTGTTTTTAGAGAGTTCAAATTTATATCTAATATTATGCTTACTTTTCCCCCCTCCTCTAAGAGATGTGACTATCAGAGAACAAGATTGATTTATTTTAAAAAGTCAAAAACATACCAGAACTTACATATCCATATGAGTGTTCTTTCCTTCAAGGAAGTCATGTTGGGAGGCTATACCATTATCCCAATGATGCTGCCATTGCTCAAAGCACTTTTGGAATTATCTTTAGAACCTTCGTCATACTATTTTGAATATCCTCAGTGGTGGCAAATCATCGTCTTTTGAGGGTGAATTTGAATTTTGGAAACAAGCAAAAGCCATTTGGAGCCAAGTCTTATGAATAAGGTGGGTGATCAAGATGGGTATTGCCATTTTTGGTCAAAAATAGGATGTAACTATAAATAATGAGACTGATATTTTGAGTGATTGACTTATGTGTATGTGTGTGTGTTGTCTCATATACACTGGTTCTTAAGACAGTTCCAAAGGGAAACTTTATAAATATTTTGAGCAGTGAGAGTATCACTGAAGATACATATTTAATCTCTTGTAAGGACATTGATGGAGAGAATTTGCATCTGACTAAAGAATTTCTGGTATGTTTTTCTAAAGTTCAGCCTCATTGATTTATAGTCACATCTTGTCCAATTTTGTCTCATATACACTGATTCTTAAGACAGTTCCAAAGGGAAACTTTATAAATATTTTGAGCAGTGAGAGTATCACTGAAGATACATATTTAATCTCTTGTAAGGACATTGATGGAGAGAATTTGCATCTGACTAAAGAATTTCTGGTATGTTTTTCTAAAGTTCAGCCTCATTGATTTATAGTCACATCTTGTCCAATTTTCAGTTGGAAATATACCTTTTTATCCCTTCATATAATTTCACTCATGATAGATTTTTATTAATCCTGGGAAATGATGCAAAATCATGGCTTTGAAATATATCTTTTGTGAAATCAGATCAACTCAGTTCTTTTATACCTATGTGAATTCTTGAAGATAATTTGGTTTTCACTCATGTATGGAAATGAGATAAGTTTTTTAAAGTGAGCATAAGCTGGTAGGAAAAACAAAACTAGCCCAGCTAGCCATGTGATCAATCCTGGGCAGGGTTCTCCCTGGCTGAGTTTTCATTTCCTCTTCTTTAAAAGGAAGAGATTAGAGTAAATGGTTTCTAATATTTCTCTTATTGCTAAATTCATGGGATACAGACTATGGTTCATGTATGTTAATATAAAGTACAGTGGGGCCTTGACTTACAAGTGTCCCGACTAACGAGTTTTTTGAGATACCAGCTGTCTCTCGGCAGATTTTTTGCATTGAGTTGACAGAGTAATTTGAGTTAACGAGCTCCTTAACGAGCTCCTTAATGAGCTCGGTCTCGGAACGAATTAAACTCATAAGTCAAGGCCCCACTGTAGTTTGGGTCTTTGTTATACTCAGCTCTTCACCTGAGCTATGAGTTATTTAACCCACAGTGAAGACAAGCATCCACCTCTATCCCCTTACCTTCCTGTAGCTACTACACATTCTATATGTTTTAAACATTAACTCTGTGAAATAGGTTAGTTTCTATTTTCTAAATTCCAAGATTTTAACCCTGCCATGACAATTAAGTTCTATTTAAGGAAATGGCTTGAAATCCGGTCCCAAATGTTTATTATGTGTAAAATTGTGATAATGCCTACCTCATACAGTCATTGTAAAAATTAAATTATAATGTATATAAAATGCTTAGTAATGCCTGTTATTTATTAGCACTCACTAAATGGTGGTGATTTCAATTACAAATTCATACTCTGGCCTAAGAGTTTCCTGGTACAGTTAGACAGCATTGCTTAGGTTGTATAATATGTTGGTATTGCCAAGTTTTTCCAAAATTCTCTTTTAGGAAAAGATAGAGTTGTAAGCCTTTTTTCCCCCCACATTAAATGTAAGTTTTGGTCATAGTGTAAGTTACTACTGAGTTAGTGGAAAAGTCTTCCACAGAAGACTTTTGTAATGCAATGGATTCAGAGATATCTATAGACTCATCAAATTTTGGAAACTGTTTTGAAAGTAACTCCATCATCCCATAATGGAGAGGTCAAGGGATTTATGCTCTCTGGTAAAAAGCCTTGCCCTGTTCATGTTTATAGGATATCACTCATACATTTTCATCAACCTCTTATTCAGATAAAAACATACAGGGAACCAAGTGTTGAAGGATTAAGAGATGGGTGAGATTTCTAAAAATATTTTAATGTTGGTAATGACCTTAGTTATTAAAGATAGTTTTACTGGGTGCCATTCCATAGCAGCTTTTAACTGATTTGGAAAATCAACACTTCAAAATGCATTTCCATTCTGGTTTCTAATGTGATTGTCAGTGTTTTCCCTTCCTTCAAATTGGCTTTTAGTCACAGAGGTGTTGTAAGTGCTAAATGGATTTGCTTAGCAGTCTGATAATGTCACAGTCACACCTTTCAAAAGCAATTTGTCATAAGTTATTTCTCAGCAGTGGCTTTTATTTGGACTTCTGCTTTGCCAAGCAATGTCATTGATAAGCTCTTCAAAGACATGGTGCAGAATACAACATTAACTTTTAGCCATTTTAACTGGGATAAGATCAGATCATTTCCCCATATTTCATGTCTGTTATTATTGGGCTTATCTTAATGAGCGCTGAAATGAAACAGAGCTGAAGTCATAATGGCTCTGTGTGTATATATGTTTTTCTTTTCAATATTAACACAAATTCCATTGTCCCTCAGAATGATACCTCCTACGAGCAAAACTTTTCTTGTCAATAACCTGGCTGCTGGAACTACGTATGACTTGTGTGTCTTGGCGATATATGACGATGGCATCACTTCCCTCACTGCCACCAGAGTCGTGGGTTGCATCCAGTTTACTACGGAGCAGGATTACGTGCGGTGCCACTTCATGCAGTCCCAGTTTCTGGGAGGCACCATGATTATTATTATTGGTGGGATAATTGTAGCATCCGTGCTGGTTTTCATCATCATTCTAATGATCCGGTATAAGGTTTGTAACAACAACGGCCAACACAAGGTCACCAAGGTCAGCAATGTCTACTCGCAAACGAATGGGGCTCAGATGCAAGGCTGCAGTGTAACGCTGCCCCAGTCCATGTCCAAGCAAGCTGTGGGGCATGAAGAGAATGCTCCATGTTGTAAAGTTGCCAGTGACAGTGGGATACAATCTTCAGAAGTTTGTTCAAGTCAGGACTCCTCTACCACTACCTCTGCTTTGCCTCCTACCTGGACTTCAAGCACTTCTGTGTCCCAAAAGCAGAAAAGAAAGACAGGCACGAAGCCAGGTACCGAACCACAGAATGAAGCTGTCACAAATGTTGAGTCCCAAAACACTAACAGGAACAACTCAACTGCATTGCAGTTAGCTCATCGACCTCCTGATTCTGTCACAGAGGGGCCCACGTCTAAAAGAGCACATTCAAAGCCAAGTAAGTTTCTCACTTTGCCCGCTGAGAGGTCCAGGGCAAGGCACAGGGACTCCCTGAATGGAGAATTAAAGGAATACTGTTGTATTAATTCACCGAACGCATGTGAACTATTCTCTAAAAGAAGCATGTCTATGAATGTGATGTTAATTCAGCCCAACACTTCTGATGGGTGTAGTGGAAGAACAACTCTTTCAAATCCTGAGTGTATATTGGAAAGCACTGTGTAACCTGTTTTGTTTTGTTTTTTTAATGAAAAATTATTTTGAGAACTCACATAGGAAGCTGGAATTTGAAATTTCAGTCCTGTTTCTCTGACACATGGCTTAATAGAACCAAGGTGTAGAAACCTTCTATGAGATATATATATATGATTAGGAAAAAATCATGACATAGTAACAGTGTCTTTCCCAAAAAGAACTGGCTTCCAGGTTCTGCAATAGCAAATCACAAAATGAAAGTTGTCATAGGAAAACTAAAGTCTTGCATAACTAATGATATTTCTCCTCCAATCTTAAAAGGACCACCTATGAATAATTGGCATTTTCCAGTGAATATATTGCCTATTTCTCTCAATAACAATAATGTTTGTTTTTAGACAAATATTGTAGAGAACAACTTTGTGTTGTTACGTTATTTAAAATAAAATATTAAATAAGTATATCCAGACAAGTGTTAAAATAAGTACCCTTCTGAAAAACATTTTTGGTTTTGATGCCTTAATGGTTCTATGATATTTTTCATCCAGGACATACTTTTTCAGTGGGAAGCAGAAAAAAAATGCAATTGATTTTGCATTTATAAAAATATACAGTTCAATTTTAAATTACATGCCACAATTTTGTATGCATCTACCTGGGCATATGAAAGTGTTTTCATTACATTTAATACACATTTGCTAAATGAATGAGTTTTATATTTTTCTCGACGTAAGTTAAAAAGGGAGACAAAAATACAAGACTGCCTTTATCAGAGGGATGTTTATTTTTATTACCAGGTAATTTAAAAAACTTTAAATGAATTTCTTATCACATTTATAAACAATATAAAGTCATCGCTCATTAACCAGATAGTGGTTTCATTTTTCCTTCCTACACTGTGATTCTGAATTGAATGTTTAACTTTTAGAGTAAATTCACTTATTATTTTAACAAAAACCTGAGATGAAATGTAATTAGAAATCTTACTGCTTAAAAAAAAAGAATTTAAATTTAGTCAGGCAATAATATTGCTTCTTGTTAATGTGATGTTTTTTATATTCACTGAAATCAAGGTCTACAGATAAATGTTTCTATCAACTTGTTGAAAACCTTACAACATTATACACTAACATGATGGTCTCTTATTAAAGACTAGAGGCCCAGTGCATGAATTCATGCACAGGCGGGATCCCTCGGCCTAGCCTTTGGGGAACAGGCCAAAACTGGGTCTCCTACATTCCCTGAGTGGTCCTGGATTGTAAGAGGGCGGTTCTCAGGGGACGCACCCCGGAATCAGGTTCCTTTCTCTCTGGTTCTGGGTGTGTCACCTGAGAACTGCAGCTGCCAAGTCACCGCAGCTCAGCAGCTCCTGTGTTGAGCGTCTTCCCCCTGTTGTTCACTGTGTCATAGCTACTGGTCTGATGGTTGAACGGTTGGCTGGTAACCGGTTACTTAGGCTTTTATATATATAGATTGGTAAATGAGGGTTAACATTAAGGGTTTTTCATTTTTGGTTTTGTTTTGAGAATAAGGTTCATGTGGGAACCTTGCAGAAAAAAAATTAATCATAATATAATAAGCCTTTATTAACTCATGTCACTTGAAATACCATTTAAAGCACAGCTGAGGAATGTCAATCATTAGTTTAATTTCCTTCTGTTAGAGGCATATATAAAAATTTCAGTTAATTTTAACTTTACAGAAGTACTTCTTATCACACACGACTCATTGTGAAGACATTCAAAAGAGGGCAAGATGAAAGCAGTTAGAGATTACTTTCCAGGCCAGTCTTGAACATAATTGTCTAATGGGCTTTTATTGGCTTGGATGTTTCCTAAGTGCCTTCTCTGCCCTGCTTCTGACATTTGCCTTTCACAATTTCTAAAATCAAATCAGCACCCATGTGTCAGCTACATAGCTCTTGTGAAGAATAAAAAAGATCACGTGTTGTAGTAGTTTATAAAATCAAAAACACTATGTGTATTTTCAGCACTATTTTTGTCATAATGCTCTAATACCAACTAAGTATTTTTATTTATTTTTAACTCATGTTGATACACACACTTTTCTTTTTTAAATTGTGGTATAATTGACATACAACATTATATTAGTTTCAGGTATTAACATAATGATTCCATATCTGTATATATTGTGAAATTATCATCACAACAATCTAACATCCATCACCACACAGTGTTACTACAGAATTATTTTTTCTTGTGATGAGTACATCTAAAATACACTATCTTAGCAGCTTTCAAATATACACAGTGTTATTAACCATATTCACCATGCTGTGCATTACATCCCCACGACTTATTTAATTTACTAGTATAGCTGGAAGTTGGTACCTCTTGACTTCCTTCATCCATTTTGCCCTCCCTCCCCTCCCAAACCCA